AAAAAAAAAAAAAAAAAAAAAAAAAAAAGGCAGTCCTGCTGCCTGAACAAACCAGGCTGTTTTTCAGCCCTTCAAGAAACTCAGCTACAGCCTTTGACTCAACATCCTCTTATGGCAGTGAATTCCATGCCTGGATGACATGCTGCACAGAGCTGACTGCAAAGCATTCGGAGAGCTCTGCATTCAGTGCGCTTGGAACTGCTTTGCAGAAATAGCACTGTGAGCTAGCACTCGCCCGCCTCTGGTGCAGTATTATATCCCCCTGTACTAGTTCAAAGACAAATACGTACGCTCAGGAGTGTGATGAAAACGCAGATCCGACAGTCAGAGGCCTGAGTTCAAGGTGCTGTTCTGCCCTTGGTTTCCTGCATGATTGCAGGCAAGTCTATACATTCTGCTTTTATATCTGAAAAACGGTACTAAAAGTGCTTCCTTTGCCTGTCACAACTGCTTAGGCTGTTTGTTCCTGAGGGCTGTCTTAGCACAGCAGAACCTAAATCCTCATTGGAAGCTGTGAGTACACCACCAGCAGGGAAAAAAAAAAAAAAAAAAAAAAAAAAAAAAAAAAGGTAATAGCACTCTGTTTTTACAGAGTAGAAAAAGGACAAACTGGGATATTGCTACGCTCGTCCTCATTTTGGATAGCTCTCAACTCTGTGATTTCTCATTCTAGTCTAGCTAATGTTACTGACAAGCACTCATGCTGGAAGGAAAGTATCTTTCCAAGAAAAGTGGACTATTACCCTTAGGGTCACTGAAAATCTTGTTAAGGTATGTAGACTAATGAGCAGTAAAACTAGGGCTTGCAAAGAGGTCATATGTTACACATTACAGCGCTAAGTAGCTTGAATTAGATGTTGAGGAATGGAAGGAGACTCCAACTTACTGCCAAATTTGAAGGCAGGCTGCTGCTATTTCATGCTTTCTATATTACAGCAAATGACTAGCAAGAGTCAAACTGAGAAGTTCTGTTCAGGAACAAAAGTTTTCATAGGGAAACTATAAGTTCCAGACAAGCAAAAAGCCCAGCTTTGTAAGTCTGGTGGTACAATGCAAATGGCGTTATCCCTCTCCAATTCGCTATGAGAAACGCTTCCACTGGAGCTCCCCCATGGAATGTGCATCCAGCCTGGAGTGGTCGTGCGGCTGAGCAGAAGCAGATGGGGAAGCAGCAGGCATTCCAAGTTGCACAGGTTGAGGAGCTTTCCTGCCATCTTTGATGGCTGCTGATGTAACTTTTCATAGGCAACCAGAACTGATAGACTCCTGGTGTCGCAGGTGGATCAAAAAGCAGAACCATTTCTGCAAGTTCAAAGTCTTGCCTTGTAGAGAAAGCTGCAGGTCCTGGGTTTCAGTCTGGCAGACAAAAGATTTCCCCTGGTGAGAAGGAACAGATTTTTTTTTTTTTTTTTGAGAGAGACAGAATCGAGATGTTGATTAAAATTTAGTGTATTGTAGTGATTAAAGAAAAAAATGCATTGAATGACTGTGAACCTGAAGCCGGATTAAAAAATAACCATTAGTTTTACACAGTGAAATAGGCTTTAAATGCTGTCACCAGGGAACCAGAAAACTGCTGATTGAAGTCAACAGACGAAGAAGCAGAGAGGAGTTCCCGGAATGACATCATTCATGTAGGTGTCATGAGTGACACTCTCAGCTGCTAAATTTCCTCGGCATGAAGAAAGAGTTCACGCAATAGAAACCATTGCAAAATCCAAAGTAGCAAGTGATGTCCTGGTTGTTGGAACCTTATGGATCTTCATAGGCATTGTAGCCTCAATTTACCCAAGCCTGGAAAACAACCTAATAACATTATAGAGTTATTTAGAGCTGCGTAAATTCACAAATGAGTTGTGCAGGTGTCACCACAAACATCATTTAGTGGCCCTGGAGACAGGATGCTATACCTGAAGGGAGATATTTTGGCCTAAGTTTGCCTTGCAGAACCATATCAGTCATAATGGTTTATGACATGGAAAGAGTCATGAGATGGAACCAAAGGTGAGCTTCTGGTATGGGCAGTTTGATTTTATTCCTTGGGGGGAGCAAAGGATCTTTAAAAAGTTTTTTGTCTTTTAATAATGATTTATGAGCCTTGTTACTATCCTGCAGTATTATTAGGCGTTGTTATGACTGGGATAATCAAATCTCATGCTTCAAAGCATCTTGATAGCTGATGGGAGATGACAATGACTTTTGTTCCCTCTGTCATATCATTTCATTGTTTCTCCTGCCCTTTTTTAAAGCCTTAACTATGGGCCCTCTATGATCAAAAGAGTCAATGAGTAGATCCAGTCCTGTTGCTACACAGAGGGAAGATGAGAGCTTGGGTGTGCATCCTTGTCAAGAAGGAAGCAGAAACTGCCCTCACATGACAGTTTTGCTGCTAGGACCAGCCTGGAGAGAAAAGATGATGCTGCCTTGCTGCAGCCCACATCATGGGATTGGATATAAGCAAAGTGTGGTTCTGGGAGGATGGCTGGGCAGGGGAGAACAGAAAATGTGCTGTATTAGGAAAGGGTTGAGCCGGCTTTTGTCCTTCTCCAAAGCAGCTGTATAATCAGATGAAATTGAAGGGCAAAGTGCTAATCCACACCACAGTGCCCAAACTGTGCTACAGAAAATACCAAACTCTTGTGGGCATATGCCCATAGGAGGAGCTCACTTCTACATGAAGTGTACTTAGAAATGCTTGGCAACAATATTTTAATGGTTTTAATATCACTTCCTCCTTTTTTTGACCTCCTTTCCTGCTCCTAGATTTTCTTTCTGAGTTTTCTGCAACTGGGTGCTTACTGTTGAGAGAAGCCCCTGCTCAAGCAGTCTGCTCTGGCCTGTGAAAGTAAGAGAGTGTATATTATTAAAACCTGTGCACCAAGTCTTTGAAAATAATTTCTGTTTCCCATTATTCACGCTGGGAACAGCACTTGGAGAAGAAGTCCTGAATGACTTAGCAACAGCTTCTTTCTGTGATTACCTGAGCATACTCAGGTATTTCATACACTTTCTTAACAGTACCCACTAATGGCTTCCCGTGGTTGTATTACGTAGTATGAGACCCTATACAAGTACTGGAGCAAGAACTCTGTTCACTAATGCTTCTGGCAGCAGGGTCCAGAGACCAGAGAGTGAACTTTCCCCATGTCACTAGGGGTGAAGCATCCCATGAAGCGCTGCCATCTGAGAAGGGGAATGCCCGAGGGCAGAACAACACCAGAGCAAGTATGTTCCTGTAAAATCAACAGCATTTCTGGCAGTGGGTCCTTGTAATACACAACCAAGAAGTCAACTTTGGGAACACTGAAGTTTCTCCAGTGTGAGATCATTTGCAGGACAATTCCAGCTTATAGGAAAGACGCTTCAACAAAGCTGACAGATATCTGAAGGAAGCTCCCCTCATATAACATTTCTACTTGAACTGCCCAGGAGAGAGTCAGAAAGTGGTGGTCCTTACAGCACAAGTTTTGTTATGAAACCTCAAGCTTGAGGCTGAAGACAGAGTGGTGATGAACACAAGCATCATCATTTAGTTGAGTTTTCTGAGAAAAGAAAGTGTGGCTTAGGAGATCAAAGCGTTTCAGGGTACTCACAGTGCTCAAATAACCTACCAGTCTTATCACAGCGATAATTACAGCTATCCCACTGAATCAGAGCCAAATTTAGTCCTAGCTGGGCTGCAAGGTCACCTGCAATAGAACTCCAGGAACACTCATTAACAGAAACATTAGACTGAAGGAATGGGACTTACACTTCACAGCAATGATTTACAGTTGAGGCTATTTTGACAGTGGACAGATACAAGCTCTTGATAAGATGACATGAAATATGGCACATTATCACTTGGTCTTATTGGACCAAGGACACTCAAAAAGTCCATCCATCGCCAAGCAAGCCATGTGGTAAGCATGATACGGCCCTCTCAATATTTTCAGAGGGAGAAATCCCCATGTGTCCCATTTAGCCTGCCAAAAAAAGTGTCACCTTATAGTTTATGGAGAGTGACACCTATCTCAAAAGTTGACTACAAACCTGACATTCAAGCTACCACAGGATGAAACTGTTGACACTCTCAGTGTTACTGAGGGAAAACTCTGTAAAGATGTCAAGAGACCTACAGAGAAAGGAGCAGTGAATAAATCAGTGGCAGTGGAAAGAGACAAACAACAGTCATCTGGATAAAATGAGAATCTACACTGATGCCAAACGAGTGTATACAGGATTGGAGAGAAGACACCAGTCTTCGGCAGTAACAGAAGTCAGGCTCAACTTGATGTATCAAGTTCAAAAGTATTCAGTGTTTCTTATGAGTTAGGACAAGTTCTTGAACTAGATTCGTGATCACCTTTATCACACCTGACAGAGCGTGAATGCCAGGAACACCATCATGATTACAGTGTTCCCAGCAGAATCTTAAACGTGCAGTAGAGGGACTCTTAGGCACCAAGCAGTGGCTGATGGCACTTTCTACTGTAACTGAAAGTGTTGGAGAAGAGGGAGTCCCCAGACATGATTCCAGAGTGTGACTGGTCCCAAGGAGGTGCTGAGAACAGCATATTAGCCCGAATGCAGGTAAGCTGAAGCTTGCAGAGAATGGTGACCTAAACATCTGCAAACTTTTGAGCACTTCCAGTTATACCTCAAAAACCTTAGAGCCACTAAGGAAATGTCCAGAGCAAAAGCAGTGAAGGATTTCTAGGGGTTCATAGAGAAGATAAACTACTAGATTCTTTTTGTTTATCCTCCCGCCTCTCAGGACACAAGACTCATCAAAGCAGTTAACACACAGACATCCTTTGGCAGCAGTCAGAGCCCCATGTGACGGGGTAAAGGCAATCCAATGCAGGGAACCAGTCCCAAATTGCTATAAACCCCTGGAACAGACAGAGCCACGGAAAGCTCGGAGCCACACTGC